GTAAGAAGTCTTGTCATAAATTCTAGGTCTTCTTTATCCTGGGCTATTACCACCTGGTCGTCTGCAAAATGGAGTGTATATAGAGTCTTTTCATTATTCAGTTGTATGCCCATACCACTACATGATCTTCTCCACTTTCTTAGTGTTTCATTTAAATAGATTTTGAAAAGTGTGGGAGATAAACAACAGCCTTGACGTAGACCTTTAGTTATGGAGAAGCTATCGGACAGAGTAGATCCTATTTTTATTCTTGATGATGCCTGGTGATACAGCTGTTTTATTGTTTTTATTGCAGTATTATTTATTTGAGTGTTTTCCATCACTTGCCAAAGTTTTTGGACAGGAACCGTGTCATAAGCCTTTGTAAGGTCAACGAAGAGCAGGTGGACATCTCTGTTTGTAACAGTTTTTTTTCTCATTGAGCTGCATATGGCTAAATATATGATCAATACAAGATCGTCCGGCTCGAAAACCCGCTTGTTCCTCTATTTCGTGAGGGCCATATTCTTGTTCTATTATGTCTCTAATTAATCGACCAGAAAGCCTACTCATTGTACTTGTGACCGAGATACATCTATAATTAGAGCAATCGTCTTTATTACCCTTTTTGTGAATGGGTGTTATCCACGCCTCTTTCCATCCTGGTGGGATTTGCTCTCCATTTATGTATCTGGTAAACAGTTCTTTCAGGTAACTAAGAAGTTTTTGGGAGCCGTTTTTCTGAAGCTGTGCCGGGATTCCTTCCGGGACTGGTGCCTTATTATTCTTCGTGTGTTTTATCGCTTTTATTAACATGCTTTCGTTGATCTCAATGCACTCTTCTTCGACAATGTAAGGCGCTTCTGGATCGATTAAATATTCTTCCCTGTTTTCTTTTAATGCCCTTTCATAGTGTTTTTTCCACTGACCCATCTGTATTGGCTGTATGTTGGTTTTGGTAGATGTGTCCTTTCTTAGAGAACGAATTAGGTTCCAAGCCTCCGAAGATCTGGTCCCGCCCATGTAACATTCGACTTCTTCGCATTTTCTTTCCCAGGTTTCGTTCTTATTGGTTTGAATTAGATTCTTGAAATCACGTAGGTGTCGTTTGTATGTATTGTAATCGTTATCATCCTTTGTAGCTAACCATTTATTATATGCTTATTGTTTAATATTCTTCTGTTCTTCTAATTGGGCACTCAATGTCAGATGATGGTTTTTCCGGGCATTTGTGTCCTCGTACCCTAAAGCTTCCGCTGCTGCTTTATGAATAGATTGGGTAACATGTTCATATAATTCGAATGTTTCGGCTTTCAGATAGTGGTCATTTAGTTTTTGGTCTATACGATTCTGGTAGAAAGTTGTTATGCTTGGCTCTCGTAATCCTTCTATTTTATATCTACTCTGATCTATTTTGTCGGTATGGTCGGAGGTATTAATATCTTGCGTGTCTCTATTGAATTTGATTCGGGTTTTTGTTGCAAGCAGGTAGTGGTCGGAGCCGCATTCGATTCCCCTATAGACTCTTGTATCTTTGATTTGCCAATTCGCTGAAAATATTTTTTTGTTTTTCTAATGCAAATAAAAACTGCGATTATACCTATACTACCTATAATATTAGATTTTAATTTGAAGTATTTTACTTTATCAACAAATTACTGAAGAGAGGCATTTCTGGTTTACACATCCTTGAAATTACACCCCTAGACAGGGAAAGAGGCCGTAATTTCAAATTTCAAGCGGGCCTCGGGCTCCAAAGGTTTTAGATGCGGCACTGCATATTTTTCTACAATAAATTCTGAGATTGTATCATGAGTCAATGAATTCTGAAAATTTTGAGACATAATCAAAAATTACCCACATACTGTATTTTCTACCTACTCTTTAGATTTTCCCAGAAAGGACCCCGCACAAACCTTATGGGAAATGGCTTTCTGTCAAATTGGCTGAATTTTTGAAATTGGGTAGATTTCGATATTGTGATTAAAATTTATCATTCCGAAAAAATTATTCCATGTACAGTTTTTGAGTAAATGGGCTTAAAAGATGGTTTGGAAACACACCGTAGCTTTAAGAGGTGTGCTCAACGTTATCAATCGTTACTGCAATAGCCAAACTGTGGGATAGCGACGTTAAAGTCTAGGATCAGTGGTTAATATCTCAGCCGAGATACATTTTTTTTGTTTCCAATGATAACTTTTGATCAAAATAACGAAATTTAGGTACCTACCTTATTTCAAAAATTCAGCCAATTTGACAGAAAGCCATTTTCCATAAGGTTTGTGCGGGGTCCTTTACTGTCATAATCTAAAAGTTAATTTGGAATAAAAAACTTAAATAATTTCTCTATATTTTGGATGGTGGTTTGGTGAACCATTATAGACAAATCTAACTGAACCTTCATTTGATTATGGAATAGGGATAATACACCACAATATCACTGTGCGGGCTTTTTATTTTTGATATCTTTAGATTGGACGAGCTATCATTGCCAGATTAGAGATAGTCTGGTCAAAATGTAAGTCATATTACCATGCTAAAATACTTGCGACTAATCCTGTAGAAGTAAATAATTATAACAGCAATACTTTTTAGGCTGTTCATAATTCAAAAGGTTTGGTTTTCTGGTAACTCCCTGAAAAATGGAAAAGCTACATCAGACATACAAACTACTGGATAATCGAGGCCTGGTAAAAAGATAAATCAATCAACGCATCATCCAGCCAACATTCTCCCAGTTATTTTATTAGAGACTCAAATGAGTTTTGCCAGGGCATTCTTTGTGTTTTGCAACTGCTTTTCAAGTGTCCCTCTATTTATATTTTCTGCCATTCTGACATTGGCAGTTGGCAGTTTTTCAAAAATAAAATTGATGTCTGGTTTCTTGCATAATTGCGTTTTTTTCTAAGTACTGTACCTTTATTTTGTGAATATTCAGATAGGTACAACACCCAAATCTACGAAATTGAGAATAGAATGTTAAGCCATGATTCAAATGTGATTGGTAAGGAGTTCTGGAGAGTTAAAATTAAACACAAACCTAATATAATTATTGATAACATAATTATTATGGGGTGTAGAAAATAGATTAGGACCGATTCTCAGACCTACCGAATGTACATATAAAATTTCATAAAAGTAGGTCAAGCCATTTCAGAGGAGTATTGTTACAAACGCTGTGACACCAGAATTATATTGAATATAGATTGATTGTATGTATGGATGGGAACATTATCAGATATTTGAATGACAATAATTTAACAAATCAACATGAAAAATTGAACAAAATATAATTAATTCCATTGCATATGCATAATAAAAAAAAAAAACGTAAAGAATAAGAAACAATAAAGACCTGCTGGAACAATTAGGGGAATACTTCAGCAAGAAATCCTTAAAGAGGGTGTGACCCTAAAAAACGACTTAATAAGGTACTTGAATCAAGAAAAAAAATATAAAGATCTCTCGTGAAAACCGCAGTCCTATATTCAAAATAGTCTCCGAGAAAATTCCTTGTGAAGATAAATTATGCAGGAACTTGTGACGTCACAACCGCCGAAATCGCAGTCTTCCGTTCGTTCAGTCGACAGTGAACCATATACCCTATACTCTGAGTAGTTGCAATTCGCTCTAGTGAGATAATTTGTCTTTTATTTTGGAAAATTCTTACACGTGTTGATGATGTGCCTGATAATCCGGTGTGACGTCACAAACAGCCTAGTTGTAACTTTAAACCGCCCTAACTCGAAAACGGGCCATCGTAGCAAGATGCGGTTTAAATATTTATTCTTGATTTTTTTACACTAAAATTTTCATTTTTGGGTCACACCCCCTTTAAAATCAGAACAAAAAACTATTAATTATTAGAAGAATTTATTTGAAAAATACGGAGAACCTATTATAAAGTAATAAAAGCAGAACGTGCTTTGGGATAGAAAATGAAAATACAGTGACTCAATAAAACTTTTCAGACAGTGGCGACAATAGTGGTCCCACCGCCATATTCTTGCTGATTTTTAATGATTAATAAAGGATTTTAAAGAACCAATCAAAAATAGGACGGCAATTCTCGCCACTGTGGTTTATTGACTCACTGTAAATGAAAAGAGAACAGGTAGATTTAATGCGCGCTGAGTGTACTTTCGTCTCTTTCTCTCAGCTTGTTAAAGAACAGATGGAAATACATTTTCTTTGTACTAAGGGCGGGTATTTCAAAACTATTTTAACAAATAACTAAAATATTAGTTGTTCTGGCCTGATTCCGAACCCACGATTCGATAGTATCGTCATCGTCAATATAAATATAGATATTTCAAGTCCCTGGAATGACTATGAGATGTAAAGTCATTCCAGAAGTTAACTTTCAGTTATTTGTGAAAAATAATTTCATAATACCCGCCTAATTTTACCAACCGGAAACGCCATAAGACATAGGAAGGGGTTTCCGTTTCCGGCTTCTTGCTCCTTGTTCATAAACGGTGAACGACTCGAGTGGTTTGTGGTTTGCTTAAGCGGCTCGAGCCATATTTGTTCATTTGGTAAGTTGAGGAATTAAATTTATTGATTGTATGCATTTAATTTTCATAAATAACAATTTGAAATATATTTATTTATTTGAATAAGAGGAGTATGTGTGGTTTATTGTGATAATTGCGTTTTATAACATCAAAATGGCGGAACATCAACGTAGAGGCACATAAAGATAATGCATTTTGGCATCAGTTATGTTTGCATCGAAAATATTTTTAGGCATTATAATAAATAATAAGTAGTAGCTCCCGCTCTGATAAGTGAGACAAACCGTCGTGTGATTTTTATCCATACACCGCCTTTCCAAATGGCGGAAGTGTGAGGTTTATACCACACACCACGTTCTTGAACGCAGCCATCGCCATAGCAACTAGCAACAGGTTGCATTTTGTTTTTTTTTTTTGTTAGCAGCAAACATTTTTGACATTTCAAAATTTTTTGCCATTTCATATTTTGTTTCCTAGTAAAATTCAAATATTCTGGTGAGAATCATGTCTGAACCTGAACCTAAACCCGAACCTGAACCTAAACCCGAACCTAAACCCATGCAAACCCATTGGGGCGCTTCAAAGGAAGTTACGGACGCTATTGTGGCCTGCTTGGAGTCTGGCTTTAAAAGACTGGTGGAATCAGACTCGAACTCGCTGTTGAAGAAGTTCTTAACGAGGGAAATACTAGACAAAATTAAGATGAAGACTTCTAAATATGGGGCCACGCTGCAAGATTGCATTGATCCTGGTAAGTCAATATAAAATTTACAATTCACCATATTTTCTGAATGCCGTGGAACTTCAAGGCCGCCAAGAGGCTGTGTCAAGCTCCGGTGAAAAAAATAATAACGTGCCCCCTAATGCGCTGCAGGTTTTTTCTTGAAGATTTAATCAGATTTTTTTAACTAAGGTAACTATATAAAACTATGAACCTGGCCCCCATATTCTCACAGGCCTCTGGAACTTGTCCCGTCTGCCTCTCCCTCTTTTCGGGCCTGTGGAAACTCTAATAATCTTGTTTACTGAAAAACAATACTTACAAACAAAAAAATCTGTAGAGGCCTTTCGTTCAACAATAATAGTCTCACAAATAATACAAACCTGTTGAATCTCTCAGGATTTTTCCACAGGAGTCCCAATAAATTAGATCATCACAAAATCTACAAATTGATACAAAAAAAAATATAAGCAAGGGCAACGCAATAGAGGAATGTGGAAAGTTGGTGAGAAGCTAATACATTGTGAAAGCAAGGGAGTGTGTTGGGATTGATTTGACTCTTCCGCTATATTTTTCAAGTTTTTCGACATATTGTTCTCTATCTGTCAAACTACTTTTGACCCAGCTTAGGGCAGCTCCCTTTACTCCATAGGAGTCCAGCTTTTCGAAAAGCAGTTCAAAGTCTACCATGTCAAATGCTTTAGAAATGTTGTAAGAAATGCCACCCTCATCCAGGTCTCGGTGTATTTTATTTAATATTTCAAAAAGGGCTGTTGTTGTATTTTGCCTTTACTTTTGCCCCATTGGGTAGATGAAAGTAAATTGTTTTCTATAAAATATGCTTCTAGTTGGATTTTCATGGCTTTGTCAGAAATTTTTGCGAACACAGATAGATTGGATATTGGTCCATAATTTGACAGGTTTGATATATCACCCTTTTTAAAAAACAGGAATGGTACGCACTACCTTGAGAGCGCTTGGATATGTTCCCTCTGAAAAGGACATGCCAACCATATCTGTCAAAGGAGGCGCAATCAGATTTACGATTGATTTTAAAAGACTGCACAGGACCTCATCTGGACCATGGCATGGCATGGATATAAATATGTTTGTGAACTGTGAGTTTATAAATCTTTTTGCTGATGATACATTTTTGGGTTGCAGTGATAATGATCCAGCAAAGCAATAAAAAACATGAATGGGATCTTGTCAGAAAGGCTTTTGATTTTTCACTTTTAGTTTTTTGTTTTTGGTACTTCTTTAAAAATAATACACTAATGTGTTGTTTATGGTATAAAAATTTTGGTCTAGTCTATTTTTGAAAATGTTTTTGTTTGGTGCACTTATCGTTTCTGGGCTTAGGGAATTCCATTTATAGACTACGCGATTGGTTAAAAAGTTTTTCCTTCCAAGAAGAACAGTTCTCTCTTTTTTCAGTTTTTGGTGGTGTCCTCTGAGGTTTAAGTTTGGATTCATTTCGAACATATCTTCCAGTTTTAGGTCTGTAGAGTAGTAGCCATTTAGGATCTTATCGGTTTCAATTAGGTCTCCTCTTTCTCTTCTGAGTGTTGTTAACTGGAATATTTGTAGTCTTATTTCGTATTGCTGACTTCTAAGTTCAATTGGGATTTTGGTTATTTTTCTCTGCAAACTTTCTAAGAGATCTATGTCTTTTATGTAGTAAGGAGACCTAACTGTGTGGCTATATTCTAGTTTTGGTCTAATGTGGTGTACAGTTTTTTTTATCATTTTTACAATTTGATTTTCAAAAGCTTGTCTCGTGAGGTATATTAGTTGATTGGCCTTCTTTACTGTGTGGGATATATGGGGTTCCCATTTCAGATCATCAGTGACATAGACTTTTAGGTCTTTCTGTTCTGAGACTTTTCTGAGTTCGACGCTATTTATATGGTAGTTGTATCTAGGGTTATTTCATCCTATGTGTAAAGCCCGGGACACATCTATCATGCATCCTTCCAATCCAACTCCGATCATACAATGAGGGTCCTTATTCTTGGACAACAGGAAGCAGCGTTCCCAGGAGAACGAGTGTTCCGCTGCTCCCCTGTTCCAAGAATAAGGACCTTGATTGTATGATCGGAGTCGGATCGGAAGAATGCATGACAGATGTGTCCCTGGCTTAAAACTGTAATTTTTTTTTCATTTAGTTTTAGCTGTCATGTGGTTGTCCATTTTTCTACAGTGCTCATGTCTTCCGTTAGTTGATGCAGTTATGTTAAAGGATTTCCATATAGTTTTTTGTCATCTGCAAAGGATTTTACTTTGGTTTAAATAGTTTTTGACAGATCAGAAATGTACACTATAAAAAAAAGAGGAACAAGTACAGATCCTTGGGGTACTCTGCTTACGATTGGGTACCAATCAGAATTGGTTCCATTCGCTTAAACATAGAAAGTTCTTTCCTTAAGAAAGGAGCTGCTCCATTGTGGGGTACTTGCCTCTTATTCCATAATGGCTCAGTTTGAAGCAGATTCTCTCGTGTGGTACTGTATCAAAGGCTTTCTGAAAGTGAATTGGCTTGTCTTCGTCTAGGTTTGTAGACGAGTCGCCCAGGCAGCTGAGAAGATTTGTTATAGTAGACCTTTTTGGCATGAAGCCATGCTGTGTAGGAGGTATGATATCATTTTGTAAGAGAAAGGATGTTGTTTCTTTTACAAGAATTATTGTTCATTGTCCCTATGGGCAGAGTTGATTGCGGTGGTCTCTGAGTCTTTTATAGTAATTTCTTATTGGATCTCGTAAGATTAAATCATGAACCTGGCTGCTTAGATTGCACTTGATATAAGAATAGAAGTGTTTTTAATTTTTTTCCAGAAGATTTTCTTCATAGGTTTTCCTTCCTTCAGGGAATAATTTTTTTAGTTTGTTATTTTGTATTCTGTATCTGCCGTAGCCTTCGTCGATTTTATTTTTAACATACTTGTCCCATAGTTTTTGCTTTCTGTCAATTTCTTTAAAGATTTTCTGATTGAGCCATGGTTTTCGATGGTTAGTTCGGCATGTTTTTTCTGGAAAGAAATGTTCTATTGTCTATTTTGCTCAAGTTTATTTGGCTTGACGATAGACGATATTATCTAATTGTGGGTTCGGAATTTGGGTCCAGATCTGTACAAACTAAAGGCCAGTATTTTTATAAATGGTGACAGAATAGGTGGAAGAAAGCAAATAGCAAAAAAATAACCTCTCGAGAAGGATGAATGACTATACTTGAGTGACCGGCCCAACTTAATTTATAGTTTTTCACCTATACAGAAAAGTTATACTTGCATCTTAAACTTGCAAAATCAAAATATAGAAAGCTCTGGATCTGAAAATATTTTTTGTTAAATATCAAATCAAATCAGAAAATACTTTATTATCCAAGAAATCAAATTGCTATTGACAAAGCTTATGATTCCAATATTGTGAATTTTGATTTATTTATCAATGTAAACAAAAATACCAGTTATAATCTTGTTGGCCCTTTTTTAAAACTAAATAAGAAATATGTTTCACCCATAAATTATCCATTTCTAGGTGTAAACAATCTTGCGTTGGAAATTGGGCTGAACGCAGTCGACCCGGACTGCTACAGAGTGTTCGCAGACCTTTTCGTACCTATTTTAGAGGCATATCACAAAATTGGAAAAGATGGTCAGCAACTAGGCATCGACGATTGGGGCTTCACCCCTGTCTTTAAAAATGTGGACCCCGAGGGAGAATATGTTCTGTTCACTGGAGTAACATGTTTCAGGAACGTGAAAGGGTTTCCGTTCAGTCCCCTTATGACTAAGGACAACTTTTTGGACGTTGAAACTGATGTACGTCTCACGTTAAGACATCTTTCTGGAGAATTGGCTGGGCGTTATCATTCTTTGTCAGGTGAGAAATGATTTTTAGTTATGATGGTAGGGTAATAACAGGCGATAAAAATAAGACAGTTATGCGAATGCATTTTTTAAAACGTTCGCATGCTGGAATCTACCAGAACATGAAGTTTTTACTTGGGATTTTAGCCCGTTCTATTCTTTTCTGCCTTTTATTGTAGATTATTTGTCTTCATTTTTATGGTATATGTAATATGTATTGATATTATTATGTAATTAGATATAACGAGATCACTTTGTTAATAAATTCATGTAATTTCAGACAATAAAGCATATGTAATGTAATGTATGGTGAGAATAAAAACACACGCATTATGATTTTCAGATGTACCAGGAAATCGCCGATACCAGTTCATCGCTGACAATTACTTTCACCATGGTAAACGCATAGGAAGAGCAGAAGGTTGCCCCCATTGGCCAACTGGTAGAGGGCTTTACTATAATTCTGCAAAAACCTTTGTGGTTTATGTTGGTGAGGAAGATCACGTCACCATAATAAGCAAGCAACCAGGAGGAGATGTAGGAGCAGTATTCAATAGGTTGGTAAAGGGACTTGAAAATCTCCAACAATGGATTGAATTTTCCACTGATATGAGATTCGGGTACTTGACGGCTTGTCCTTCAAATGTGGGTAAGTTGATTCAGATTGGCCTATTCGAGCATTGAATTTACATGGAAATAGATACTTCCCAAAAGATAATGTAAAATAGGTTTTGAATTAATTGTTATAATAAATAATTAAATAAATAATAAATAATGAAAATGTTAGCTAAAATCCACCTAAGACCTTTCAATTTTGATAATAAGAAAAGTAGGCATTGCTTTGGAAAATAATTGACAAAATATTTTTCAAGTCAACTTTTGTCACAACTTCAATATGTATGACTCGGAAGTTTTTGTAGGAACCACAAATTTGGTTTTAATCCGAAAACGACAGTTGCCTTGGATAACTTCTAGACTTTTTCCGCTGACGTTTCAGTACCAAATTTGCTACAGTTAAAAATCCATTTCAAAACTACAGACATTTATTATGATAGTGCTTTACCTAATATGTTTGCCTAAGGTATTACTTGTTAATATGTCCAGAATTTAGTCTTAACTAAAGAACCTATGAAAAATTGTTGTAAAAATTTCTATAAAAGGGAGGGGGAACCAAAATGATGTAATAACCAACCTGTTTTCCACTTACCCCCTCAACCCCAGCCACCCCAACTAAATATTCTTAAATGGCAACCCTCTACTTGTGATACCTTATCTGAAAGCTCTTTAAAAATGCTTTTTAATGATACCTTACAAAGCTACATTCGTGCTACGATAGTAAAAATAATGTTTTTGAATATCTATTAAAGTAATAGTCAAAAATTCAATTCACATTTCAAAGGCTTTATTTTGGAAAACTGATAATTATTACATTGAATGTTAGCTTTATACCATTGAAAAGGTTTTTTTAAGAGCTTTCAGATAAGGTATCAGAAATAGGGGGTTGCTATTTAAGATTATTTAATAAGGGTGGCTAGGGGTGATGGAGTAAGTGAAACCAGGTTGGTTATTACATCATTTTGGTTCCGCTCCCTATTAAAGAAATTGTTTCGAGCGATTTTTTATATATTTTTTTTTTAGTTCAGTTAACAGATTTGGTACTGAAATGGCGAAACGTCGGTGGAAAAGTCTAGAAGAAGGATTCACATTTATATTTTGTTGTCCCTAAGCCATTTCTACTAAACAACAGATTTTTATTATCATTATCATAATTCTATTGCTAATTTTTTTTCCAATTTAGGTCAAGCGGTTCGCCCATATTTTCATATGAGAATTCCCAAACTTGCCGCTAACATGCCTAAACTCGTTGAGCTGGCTGCCCACTATGATATGGCAGTAAAAGAAATTAGAGAAGGGTCCATCAACACGCATGCTATTTATGAGCTGACTAATACGAAACGTTTGGGGACTCCAGAATACCAGAGTGTGAAGAAAATGGCGCTTGGTATCATTAAAATTATTGAGAATGAAAAAGCCGCACCACCAGTGGATAATTCGAAACTATATGGCCAATCAACCTCAGGGGAGCAAAGCTGCTGATGTTACAAGTTTTTGACATTTAATTATATAATAAAGTATTAGTAGGTATAGTATTTTAGTATAGTATTTTGGCCGCTAAGAATGTAGGCTTTTGTTTTTGAACCAAAATTTTCTTTAATAACAAAACGACAGTTGCGTGTAACATGCTCGGATCGAGTTATTCAGTTTTATTTTACTTTTCTTCTTTTAAAATTGATACAAATGGGTGTCTCTATATTATAATGATATAGCTTTGCAAAGCAGCTGATGTTACAAGTTTTTGATTTAGGGTGTTTGGCAGGTTGATGAATATGTATATTTTTGGAGTCAAACTTACCTTTTCAGCAAGTCTTATTGTTTTCAAAATATGGCAGATTCAATTTTTTCTTAGGTCCGAAATGACTTACTCTATCACCTCCCAAACTATATTATCGTCGTTCCAAAATATATTCATCAACCTACCAGACACCCTGAGTAGTAGTAAGTATAGTATTCTGACCACTAAGAATATAGTTTATTTTTTTATTTTCTTTAAAAGTTGATTCAAATGGGCGTTTTTTGTGATAATGATATTACCTTGCAAAGCGGTCGATGTTAAAAGTTTTTGACATTTAATATATAATTTAGTTATAGTATAGTATTTTAACAGATAATTTGCGTATTGAATTAAATGAAATATGTCAATATCATAATATGTATTGGAAAATAATAAATTTGTTAAAAATACCAAAAGACAAAACTTACTTTAACCAAATTTGCTTAATGCCTCCATGACCAAAAGAATTCAGAATCAAACATAAGGTTTTTAAACTGTCATTGATTTCGAAAACATGTTCTTGGAACTAGTTTTATCACTAGGGAATCTAAATGTGGCTTTCCTTATTCTCACCCTCTGAGGCATCTGAAACCTATGAAGAAATAAACTGTCTTCAATATTGTTATTTTCTGAAATTCTGTAATTTCCTAGCTCTGCTGGTTGTGGTTGGTCAAACCTAATCATATTGGCATTTTTTATATTTCGTTCTCCTTCCTTAACCAGGTTAGTCTCGACCTGCTAGAGGCACAATTCACGCACAATTATTGTATATTGGCATCCACAAAAGAGTTGAGCAAGAAGCATAAGGCGCAATGTTGTGCGTGATCCTTATTCCTCCTGCTAATAGGGGTTTACATTTCCTTTAGGAAGGTGTATGAAATATACTCAACTCACCACTATAAAAACCTCTGAGTAAAGGATTGTTCTCAGTGCTGAATATTCAGTTGATTCGCAGTCGAGTTGACTGCATTCTTGAACACCTGGATTTTTATGCAGAATTGCTATAGAACACTGGATAAGAGTTGGCAAACCTGTGTTTATTCCAAAGTATCTGATGTCCTGTTTGAGCAGATCTTTGGCAAAGGAAGTGGGTGAAGACTAAAAAAATTAGAATATATCAAGGGTAGGTAATTTTGATACATTTTTGAATCCCTATGGAATATTTTAACAGAACAGAAGTTAAATCACCATTTTAACAAAATGTTTCCACTGAAAACCATAAAACTGAAAAACAAATCTAGTCGGTGCGTTTAAACCCCTTTGTGAATAAGCTACTTGAGGATTCTCAGTACTTCATTGATTCTTAGCCAATTTTGGACCTATAAGAAGACTGATAGGACTTTCGAAAATGAACAACTGAGATTCTAATGTCGCAAAAGGCCTAGATTTCGATATATGATTTGGAGGTACTTCTATTATCAGCAGCACACGTTATGAAGGTTTCCAATGAGCTCAAAAGAAATGTTATTATAAGCACTTTTCCTTAATACCCATGAAAGTCACATTATGCTTTTTCAATCAAAACATGTTAGCGGAGAAACAATAATTATTTGCGCGTTCGCCAAGATAGCAAAAAAAAAATATATTAATCTTCCCATCAGATTACTAATAATGCCATATTTTTCTATGTGTAATGAACGTTTTTCCTAGATTCGTCTATAGGGATAAAATGTATTTTGAGAGCGATAACTGTTGCAAAGAAAACTAGCGAAACATAAAATATTTTTTTATTAGCGTTTGGTGCAAATAATTACAAATATTCATTTTAAAATGCCCCACCAGTTTAGCGAGAAAGATCTGTGATCTGGTGGAGTAGTTTCATACATTATTTTACATTCGGGCTGTGAAGATAATTCTATTGAGAATGCCTTATTTTCAAGCCGGACAATAAATTCAGAAATTATATCACAAGTCATGAATTCTGAAAATTTTGAGACATGATCAAAAATTACCCACATAGGTACTGTATTTTCTACCTACACTTCAGATATTCACAGAAATTTACTGTCATAATCAAGTCAGTTAATTTGGAACAAAAAACTTAAATCATTTCTCTATATTCTGGAAGGTGCGGTTTGATGAGCCATACAAAAATAGTGTGGCGTTCGCCAGGCTGTCTAGAATCTCCGGTATTTGCTAGAATTTAGCGAATTATTCTACTTTATTCGGGAAAATAAGATTATCGTGTGTATTCTAGATTTTACAGAAATAGATTTAGGGATATATAAAGGCCGCTATTGCTTTGTAGTTTAAGTTTCAGTTCGACTTTGATACGATTTAAAAAAGTGATTATTGTTGTAAAGAGTTTAATTGTTGAATTAGTTATTAAAGTAATTAGTGTCAGAGTGTATTGTTACGTGGAATAAATTATTGCTATGTTAATTGGACTTTGATTTTTGGAATAAACGAAACGAACCCAAGATTTCTGTCAGGCAATCAAAAGCTGTGACAATAGTCTCCGAGAAAATTCCTTGTGAAGATAAATTATGCAGGAACTTGCGACGTCACAACCGCCGAAATCGCAGTCTTCCGTTCGTTCAGTCGACAGTGAACCGTACCCTATACTTTGAATGGCTGCAATTCGCTCTAGTGAGACAATTTGTCTTTTGTATTGGAAAATTCTTACACGTGTTGATACTGTGCCTGATAATCCGATCCGGTGTGACGTCACAAACACCTAGTTGTAACTTTAAATCGCCCTTACTCGAAAACGGATCATCGTAGCAAGATGCGGTTTATTAAATATTTATTCTTAGATTTTTTTGCACTTAAACTTCCATTTTTGAGTCACACCCCCTTTAAAATCAGAACACAAAACTCCTAATTATTGGAATACCTATTTGAAAAATACGGAACCTATTATAAAGTAATAAAAGCAGAACGTGCTTTGGGATAGAAAATGAAAATACCGTGACTCAATAAAACTTTTCAGACAGTGGCGACAATAGTGGTCCCACCTCCATATTCTTGCTGATTTTTAATGAATAATAAAGGATTTTAAAGAACCAATCAAAAATAGGACGGCAATTGTCGCCACTGTGGTTTATTGACTCACTGTAAAAATGAAAAGAGAACAGGTAGATTTAATGCGCGCTGAGTGTACTTCCGTCTCAGCTCTCAGCTTGTTAAAGAAACAGATGGAAATACATTTTCTTTGTACTAAGGCCAGGTATTTTAAAACGATTTTGACAAATAACTAAAATATTAGTTCTGGCCTCTGATTCCGAACCCACGATTCGATAGTATCGTTATCGTCATCGTCAATATAAATATAGACATTTCGGGTACCTGGAATGACTATGAGATGTAAAGTCATTCCAGAAGTTAAATTTCAGTTATTTGCAGCGTTGCCAGATATACCATTTAAATGGTATTTATACCATTTTTTCTTCCATAATACCTGCAAAAATTTTGAGGATACCATTTTCCATTTTTCTACCATTTTTCTACATTTTTTTTGCACATTCAACAATTATGCTCTTTGTTCCTGTGATGTCTAGCTGTTTTATCGAATGTTTTCTATGTTTTCTTATTACTGTTTTTTTTTTCCTGTTAGGTTTGTGGTAATATGCTTTGAATTGCAATAAAACATTGTATCCAGCATTTTTAAATTGAAATCATTCCAGCTAACCTCATGACGTCATATTATTCTAACCAACTTTTTTCGTTTTTAATGCTAAGATGGACTCGTGGGCTAATAAGCTTTGTTCCAACACAGCAGGAAACCGTACATTGTACCGCCACGATTCTGCGCAAAACCAAAAATACCTATGTGCGTAAAATCCAAAGTTCGTATACACACCACTTATACACACAGAGTGGTTTAGAAACGTTCTTGGGACGGTTTTCGTGGTATTAGAACAGATCTTCAGAAATAAAGACAATGAAATATAACTATAGACCCCCTCACCTCTTTAGCATTAAGGATATCATTTTTTGTTTGTGAAATACCATTTTTTTAAATGAAAGATACCATTTTTTATTTTTTCCATCTGGCAACACTGGTTATTTGTGAAAAATAATTTTATAATACCCGCCTAATTTTACCAACCGGAAACACCATAAGTCATAGGAAGGGGTTTCCGTTTCCGGCTTCTTGCACCTTGGTCTTGGTCATAAACGGTGAACGACTCGAGTGGTTTGTGGTTTGCTTAAGCGGCTCGGGCCATATTTGTCCATTTGGTAAGTTGAGGAATTAAATTAATTGATTGTATGCATTTAATTTTCATAAATAACAATTTCAAATATATTTATTTATTTGAATAAGAGGTGTATGTGTGGTTTATTGTGATAATTGCGTTTTATAACATCAAAATGGCGGAACGTCAACGTAGAGGCACATAAAGATAATGCATTTTGGCATCAGTTATGGTTGCATGAAGAATATTTTTAGGCATTATGATAACTAATAAGTAGAAGCTCCCGCTCTGATAGTAAGACAAACCGTCGTGTGATTTTTATCCATACACCGCCTTTCCAAATGGCGGAAGTGTGAGATTTATACCACACACTACGTTCTTGAACGCAACCATCGCCATAGCAACAGGTTGTCATTTGTTTAAGCAAGCAAATATTTTAGACATTTCAAATTTTTTTGCAAATTTATATTTTTTTTCTTAGTAAAATTCATATATCCTGGTGAAAATCATGTCAGAACCCGAGTTGGAGCCTGAACCTAAACCCAAACCGGAACCTAAACCCCTGA